GAAGAGGAGGCGAGCCCGCTGACCGCGGCCGCCACCGCCGCCCGCCGCCCTCCGTGCATCGCCCCCCCAGACCCGACGCCACGGGGCGAGGGAGCAAAGGTGCAGCCAGATGCGGTCCGGGGAGAAGAGACGTGGCGTCCGAGGCGGCAGCAGGGCGGAGGGCACCGCGGCGGCTGGCAGGGCGGCGCTCGCCTAGCGGTCTCTAGCCGCACGGCCGCGCCAGGGTAGAGACGCGGAGCGCGACTCCCTAACCCTCCCTGTCAGGGCTGCGCCTCCCTACCGCCCCCCGCGGCTTCCAACCCGGCCTTGGAAAATCCCGCGAGAGCCGGCTTCCGAGCTGTCACCGGGATCTCGCGAGAGCAAACTCTTGGCTCGCAGGGGCGGAGCAGTCTTCCTCGGGCCTCCTCCCCGCGGAGGACTGGAACACTAGAGAGCGCGATAGTTGGGAGTGTCGCGAGGTTTAGTTTCGTTGGCTCGCGTGGTGCCGGGTCTGCGGCTCCTGAGGGAGTCGGGAAGGTGCTCGCGGGCCGGGTGCTTTCAGGGCCGGTGAGAAGGGCGGGGCCCTGCCGCGGACGGTCGTCCCCGCGACGTGGCTTCTATTTGGTGTTTGGTTTCTTTGTCCAAGCTGCAAACCCGGGAACTTTGGGAGGCGAGGGATTCCCGCCTGCAGTGCTGCACCCACGGGAGGCCGAGTGAATGTAGCGCGTTTTTCTTGTCACGCACTAAAATATAGTAAGTCATAAATTCCTCATGGGCACAAAACCAGCAACACGTGCCGTAAATAGGAGGCTGGGCGAGATTCTTTAATTTTAAGGGCTCGTATAAGATTGGGTTCACCTGGATAATCCAGGATAATTTTCCCATTTCAAGGTCTCTACCCTTAACCACATCAACAAATTCCCTTTGCCAGGTAAAGTAACATTCATGGGCTTCAGAGATTTGAATGTGAACATCTTTTTTAGGGGTGGGTTGGGGGATTATATTCTGCCTACCACAGTGTCTTAATAAGGAAAATTATATGGCTATTTGCTCTCCAAATAGATATCCATTCTTTGATAAATACTAAAAATTATGACTGTGCTCTCATAAAATTTTTCTGTTTATCAGCAGATAAAAACTTTATATCTAAGAGAAACATCTAAGTCATCCACTAATTACGGGTAAGATGTTGGCTTTCACCCATCACACATTTAGCCTCTGCTTCAGTGTCCTCACCCGGGACAGCAAAGAGGCGAGTAATAGTAATCCACCTAAAAAGGGTTATTGTAAGGATTAAATAAGTAAAACACCTAAAATAGTAGTGCCTGGTCATAGTAAGGAATGTATGTGCTGCTGTTACTGTTGTTATCAATGAAATGCATCCACTTGAAAGTTGCTTTCTGCATAGCCATTGCTTCAGTTTAATATTTTTGGCTAATAATTGGTACTACATTATTATTATTGGAATTTTGGACTGGATTCTAATTTAAAACACCATGGATTATAAGGCATATTATTTAGGTACAGCTTTTAAAAAGGAAAAACAAAACAAACCCCTGCTATTATAATTGTAACTTGATTTTAATATACACCCTAAAATTGGAAATTTTAAAATGTAGGAAAAGAAATCTGCTTCTTGGAATTGATGAACTATATCTGTTTACTTGTTTAACTCCTTTCATATTGTCTCTAAAATCAATGGCAAATGGGCTATTTCACTCAAACCTTAGAAGTAAACCTAAGGATAAGTACTATGGCTATCTAACTGCTCTGAGGTTCAGTGAGAAGATTGATGCATTTGAGTCCATTTAACTCCCAGGGTTTATTGTGACAAACGGATGCACATTTCCTCTGGAGCAAATGTGGAGATCAGGTGAGAGAAATCCAGCAGAGACTTCAAGATGACCCCACTAGGGGACCTGACAGCTGGATACCTATGAGTAAAGTAGTGACTCTGAAGAGCACAGGAAAGCATCCTGTGAGAGAAAGATGTTCGAGGCGGGCCTATTCAATCTCATGGCAGTATTGGTTAAGTGAGATCTTTCCTGTACCTTACTTTATCTCCTTTTCCCAAATCAATCTTGGGAAAGTCAGAAGCATCCTAAAAGTAGAGGGAGGAAGGCAGTCACCCCTACTTTGTCCACTGCACACAACTCATCTGTAGCAGGTATGAGCTCTGATCGAGCACAAACTTCCAGTTTGGATAACTGTTGAAGTTTCAATTTTAATATTATAGTGGACATATTAACTGCCAAATTAAGACTTCTTGCTTATTTGCCTAGTGACTAGAAGTGACCGCAGGATTTTTTTTTAATTGAGAGAGACCAGAGATGCATGTAATTATCTCCAATTTGTTTTCAAGGGTTTGGAGAAAAACTTGTCCTCAAAGTTGGTTTCAATGAGCAATGTAACAAATAAGTGAATTTGTATTCTGATTTCATCACCTGAGTGCTGTCATTTCACCATCCATTAGGACTGAATAATAATAGAAATACTGCATATCAAAGTTTGTGGGAAATTGATGCTTAGGGGGTAAGAAATACTTACATTGAGAAAGAAGAAAAGCTGAAAATTAATGACCTATGAACAGAAATTGTAAAAGAACAACAGTCTAGTTCTAAAGAAAGTAGAAGAAAAAACAAATTAATGAAAGAGTAATAAAAAACACAGTAGAGATAATAAAGCCAAAAGGTAACTCTTTGAAAAGAGTGATAAAGTAGACAAACCACTGGTGAGATGCATCAAGTAAAAAGAGAGAAGTTACAATAAAACATTAAGAATGAAAAATAAAGTAAAATGAAAGACAATTCAAAGATTAGAAAAACATAGGTGTATACTATAAACAATTTCATGCCAGTTTTTATTTTTTTCCCTTAAAACGGAAAAGTTTTTTCCCTGAACAAAACTGTAACTTAAAACTTAAGCACACACACACATACACACACACAGTAAAAAACAACAACTTTGAGTCTGTAGTTCGAAACACCCAAGAAAAGACCAATTTTACATGGCTGTATAGGCAAATTCTACCAAATATTAAAGGGAATAAATTCATTATTATATAAACTTTCAGAGAATAGGGGGAAAAAAGAATACTCCCAACTTATTTAATCAACTTGGTGAAATATTGACAGCAAAATCTAATAAGGGTAGGCTGACAAAAATTATAAACCTATTAAAATTGTTATGATTATGGATGCAGAAATTCTAAATAAAGTAATGAACTGAACACAGTGATGCCTTTTATTACCATGCCTGTTCAACATTGGTCCTAGTAATTTCAAAAATAAAGGAAAGCTAGATATAAATTATAGATAATAGGAAGAATCATAACTGATATTCAGGAATAGAGTCTAGGTTGATGTGGCGTGGGAAGCACCACAAGTCACCTCCTTAAACAACAATTGCAGGAACAGAATCTTTTTAATGTAACTTTTTAAACTCTAGAGCATGTTGAAGGCTTACAATTTCCAGGGAAGACTTCGAAAATAAATTGTAGTTAGTTTTGGTCAATTTCAGAGCTTAGCACAGTGGAGTATACAAGTGTTCCTTTAGCAGCTGGCACAAAGTGTGTGGGAGGCAGGATGGGAAAAATGGATTCTGTCCTCCAAATAATGGGGATCTGTACTATAATTTCTGATTGCTACTTCTGATCAGAGGTGCAAAGAGGAAGAAGCCATTGTATGTACCCCGTTGTTGTAAGCCCCTCTCCCTCTGGCTGAGGTGATGTCCAAGTGATTTATTTAAAAAACTAGCACCCTTTTTGTCCTTTGTTTTTTGCTTTTTCTCCTTTTATAAGCTAGACGTTAAAACTAGGATATTCAAAAACAACTGTATATGTAGGGAAAATTAGAAAATGATTCCACATGCCCAAGGAAAGGCTCAGAAAAGACAAAAGGTACTAAGTTTACATCTCAGGTTGATCCTGGGCAGAGAGACAGTATACAGCAATCACACACATGCACAAAACAAGAAACAAAATCCCCCACAAAACAGCAAATGCTGGGGGAGGGTGAGAATCTGATTTTCTGAGTTGTTATATTAGATTTAAATGTCCAGTGTTCAACAGAGAAACATTACAGAAACAGGAAACTATGGCCCATTCAAAGAAATATTAATCAATGAAAACTGTCCCTGAAAAAGACCTAATGGCAGATACACTAGATAAAGACTAAAACAGCAGTCTTGCC